TAATGATTAATTAAAATAAACTAAATTTTATTAATTAATTAAATTAAGATAAAAGCTGCAGGGAAAAAAACTGTCGGAAATTCATTTGAAAAATTAGGTTTTCGGAAGGCCCGGAATGCCACCGGAAAATAGTTCGCCGAAAAAAGCCGCTGGAAAAATATGCCGGTAATGAATGATTTCCTGCATTTAAATGAGCTAATTACAATTACATCTCCAAACATCATCCCTCCCCAAGCCCAATGAATGTTAGGGATGGACCAATCTCTCAAAAATAGAGTAGGGGACATCGCATGGATTGACCTGGGAATATAAAAGTTATTATAATAATTGCACGGTGTTCGATAATCTCATCCTTAACGGGGTGCAAGCCGAGTTAGAGTTCGACTCGTCATGCTGGCTTGAGATCATTGGTAAGGCTCGAACAAGTGTCGCTAATAGGCTCGACGTGTCGAGCTTATCGAGCTCGCGATTCAAGATCTAACACGATTTTGAGCTCTAGCTCGAATAACCCTCTGCTCAGCTTGCGAGCTCGTCAAGTAGCTTGCGACGGATGCTGCCCGAATGAAGAAATAAACCCGTACGCGGGAAAATGAAACACGATTATCTTGCCTATGGGAAAATAAAATTGCGATTGACGCTGGCGAAGACGACGTGAACGATAGCGAGTGGCATTGGACGACGACAACAGATGCTAGAGAGTGGAGACGGACATTGGCAAAGACGGTGTGAATGGACAGACGCAGGCGATAAACGCAAATGATTAGCTCGAACTGCCACTCAACTAGCAACTCAATGAGATCTTTTTTCCCTTGTCGAGTTGAGCTCGAGCTCATAATTTGACAATCGAGCTCAACTCGAACACCCCTGACTCGAACTCGGCTTGACTCGACTCATTTGCACCCCTAATTTTCCCCATTTCATACCCATATATTTCTAGTATTAAGTAAACTATGCTATATGAACTACTCCCAACACATATCTAGTACTTATATCACGTTGAATGAAGCTCTCTAAGATACTGCTTCTTCCCAAGCCCACATCTTCAAAACCTTTCTGCCTATTCAAATCAACTACTTGTTCAAACCAATGCCATACATTGAAGATTGTGATTCCTCTAATTTTGCTCTTCTAAACTATGGGTGATTTATTATAAACCCAATTTTATGAATATAATCTCCTCCGTATGGATGAAAGACTAAATTATTAAATTTTTTACAGAAGTTTAATAGTACACGAAAAATAAAATTGTCATTTTTGAACACAAAGAGTCATTTTTACATGCAAACTTGTTAGCTTGTTACGTACGGCATAACACTCACATATTGACAAACCACCAGCTAATTATTAGTGTGAACTAAACAGCGATACGAGCAACAATTAGTTGAGCCGATATTATTAAATTAATCAGGGGCTTAATTATGTTGACTAATGAGCACCCTAATGACCACCAGTCGGTCCGACCAATTCAACCATGAACCGGTCTGAATGCCAGTCCGATTCAACCTTGAAAATCGGTTGTGCTCCAAACTGGCATAAATCGATTTGAACCGCTGGTTCAACTGGGAACCAATGATGAATCAGACCCAATTTTCTAAAATCAGTTGGATCAATTTTTTACATCATCCAGTTCGACCCCGGTTCAACAGGTCGAGTCAATTGAATTGTCAACCTCTTCTTCTTCCGGTTTGTTGTTCGGTCCGATTTTCACAACCTTGACAATGACAAGCATTAGATCCTAGATGCCACTCTTTATCATCAATCAAAAGACTAGATAATTAACTTGATAGTAAATGTTGTACTGAAGAATGGATCAAGCTAGCCTATTAGAATGTGAACCAAATATTAATGATATCAGGCAACGTAACAGTTCATTCGAACAATATTAGAAATTTAGCTAAAGGTTTAATTTGACTAATTAGCATCCACCTGATCGGAGATTTTGCAATGCTACATAACGTAATGAGATAGCCTGAAATTGAAAGTCATATGGATTCCTACGTACACTCACCCTTTAAACATCTAGCCCTCTGCCCTTGCATGCTCAAATTAGCTTCTATATAAACCCATGCAAACTAGTTAGCCTTCTGCACCAACTACAAGATTCAGTTAATTAACTAGCTAGACATGGCACTGATCATGAGAAAGTTGTCATTGCTGGCTTTCCTTCTATTTGGAGCATTGGTTGTTGCCACTTCTGCATGCCGCATTCTACCTGGTGGGACATCATCGATGGTGAAACGCCACGAACAGTGGATGGCGCAGTACGGGAAGGTGTATAGAAATGCAACTGAAAAGGCGCAACGATGTTGGGCATTCTCGACCGTGGCAGCCACTGAGGGCATCAACCAAATCAAGAATGGGAATCTAATTTCCCTCTCGGAACAAGAGCTTGTTGATTGTGATGTGAATGGCCAGAACCAGGGTTGCAACGGGGGCCTCGTGGATGCTGCTTTTCAATTCATCATCGACAATGGAGGCATAACCACTGAGATCAACTACCCATACAATGCAGCTGATGGTTCCTGTAACTCAAATATGGAGTCTAACAGTGCCGTGACGATCTCCGGCTTTGAGGATGTTCCAAGTAACAGCGAGGCATCACTGCTTAAAGCTGTCTCTATTCAACCAGTCTCTGTGATTATCGATGGCGGCGACCCCAACTTCCAACACTATGCAGGTGGCATCTTCACTGGCCCTTGTGATACCGAACTCGACCATGCAGTAACTGCCATCGGCTATGGCATCGACACAGATGGAACCAAGTACTGGCTGGTTAAGAACTCATGGGGTACTAGCTGGGGTGATGATGGCTACATTAAGATGCAAAGGGACATTGATGCTGTCGAAGGACTCTGTGGACTCGCCATGCAGCCTTCTTACCCGACTATCAATTAATTATTTTATCAACAAACATGCATACACTGTTGCGTCATTTTGAAGGGAGGAGAAATTAGCAAATCAAAACACTTGATCTATGCATCCATCTATGTCCAATTACAATCATGTACTTTTATATGATCACTAATCGTACTTTTACTATATACATATTATGAAGGCTCTTATGTATCCAGCTAGTAGTTTGTTCACCCTTATGTATCCTGTTTTGATTTAGAATATTAATTATATTTGGCGAGCATTTTGAATAGCACAACTATATCAACTAAAATTTCTTTTGAATCTTGTTGGAATTTAAGAACACATGCTTATGCTTCCTCTCAAAAATAAAATTAGAGTAAAATTCAGATTATTTTGATTTAAACATTTCTTCATCCAATCAATCATCTTTTAGAAAAATCCTAAAGAAATCGCATATTATATTATTAGATACTTTTCTCCGGCCATATTCTAATGGAAATTATCCTTCTTTCGTTAAATATTCTTCTCGATTGCCTGTGGCTTCATCGAAACTCTTTTATTGAACTATTAGGAATTCAAAGAATCGCCATTTCACTGATATTTTAACTCTGAATTAACTGACTGTTATCACCGTTTATCACTCCAAAAAATCTTGAAAGCACTCCCATAACATTCATTAGAAATGCTAATGATTCTGTCCATCTTGAAATCACTTGGTTTGGCTACAACTCATGATTTTGAAGAGATCTCCAAAACCAAAATCCATGCATTAACTACAACAATATAAACAAAATTCAAGGGTGCACGCATGATTTATTTGATTGCTCATTTAATGACTAACTTTTATTTATGTCGCTATAATATTAATATAATCAATGAAATTAGCAACCAAATTCATTAAATAGTATCCAAATAAAGGTTCATTAGCATAAAAAAAATGATTGTTGATTGTTGCGGGCTGAGAAATTTATGGCGGCAAAGTAGAAAGATTTTATATCTTAACAATATACGAAAATTTTGCACACAAACTGGCAATTAAGATGATAGAGAAATACTAGATTTTATATGTGGAAAACTCTGAAAATGGACAAAACTACGGGGTATTGTCCAGTTGAAATGATTCTATTAATATATAAGCATATTACGTAGGTCGAATCGTCCCCTAATTTAAGGACGATGAGAATACAATGTATAAAAGAATTTATTATACTTCAGACAAGAACTCATAATATTGATTGAATATATATTAAAAATATGGCACCATCAATTGAGAAAATATTTGACTGAGGTTGGGTAATAATTGGGGATCCAAATATATTCAGTAGATGGACGAAAATTTTGAGACCGACCCGTCAGTGGTTAGGAAGAGATCTAACGTCAACCAGCAAACGAGCATAAGTTCGACAATGGTCGTAAGTCGGAAGGGGATCTAGCAGAGATAATAAACAAGTTGAAGTACAAAAATCAAACCAAAAAATTCCAGTGGATAATAGCATGACGAACAGCAAAAAGACACGCCAAATCATCTTCTACGACAACCTCTCCCCCAGAATTTCCCCCGAGTGGCATTGGAAGAACGATCCAGGGTAAAATCATTATCTGACTCATAAGATTCAGAATATACTTCCTCCTCAGACGAATCAATTAACCAATTATTTTGATTCCTAATTTCATTGCCCGAAGACTTACCCACACAGTCAGCCATCACTTGTGTATCAACCTGAATAACAGGAATCTCAACAAAACTGTTAAGAATCGGTATACCCTCCTTACTACCAAGGAATGGACACACAGCCTCAATCCCACCCTAATCCACAGCAACAGACACAAAACCATCAGCACCACCTTCCGCATTTTCAAGCAACATAACATTCCCATTAGTATTCACCGCACCCTGAACAGGCAAACCAGCAGAAATTTCAACATTCACAGCAACATGATCATCCACCGGCACCAAAGAAATAACCGAGGAATCCAAAATCACTTCCTGCCGAACGCACCCATCTAGTACCTCGGGAACAAAAGGTAATGCATTAGGTGATAATAAAAATTCATCAGCAGCAACAGTAACACCGTTATAATTATTCACACCCACTGAATCAACCAAATTACCAGTGGAAATTTTAACAACGGAAGAACATCCCACAGGTTCGATAGAGGGCAAAATCACCTCCACAGCCTCAGAATCTTCTTCAGTAACATTAACCACAGTTCCTTAACACTCTTATCGCCATTCACACCACCTAAAGGAGCACAGTTTTCTACATGAACATCAGCAGTAGGAAAACCGGTTAAAGCCACCGAATTACACTTACCAGAAAGATGTCCTAAACTTTTACAAACACCACAAAATTGAGGAAACTCATCTAGAACCACCTCTTGAACACACCCTAACAAATCCGAGCCCAACCACACTTGCTTAGGGTAAGTTTTAGTAATATCTAATTCAACTAAAACTCGAGCATTCGAACGACGAGAGCCAACCGACGTAGCTTCGTCAATTTTCAGGGGTTTGCCGAATAACTCCCCGAGGCCAAACAGGATCCTCGGAGCAAAGAAATGGGGACGAAGGTTAGGAAATGAGATCCAGATCGGGATGATCGGCGACTCGACACCGATATCCAACGTCGGTGACCATTTAGTTAGTTTCATAAAATAGTTGACAACAATGTAAGAACGGTGGCAAAAAAATTCTACAATAATCTAAATCATTTGCCAACTTAATCAAAATGCGGGTAGAATCAAGAACAGTAACAGACACCTCTCCAATCAACTTCAAATTAAAAAAAAATTCCAGATCGCATCGAGAGGGGGTCGTTTCGATGGGAAAAAACCAACTAATGAAAACCGAAAAGGTTCCGCTAAAGCCCTAATTTCTTCATCGGAAACCCACGGAGCAGGAACACCACGAAAGGTAGACGGCTTCAAATCCGGAAAAGATGATGAAGAGCCAGCAAGAGCTTGAAGAAAAGACTTAGAGTGAGAGATCCCCCCAAAAAAACTGGGATCTTTCAACTTTGACGGAGGCATGCCGACAAAGCCAGAAAAAACGAAAGGAAAACCACACAAGAAACAGAGAGAACCAGAGAAAAGGGATAGAGAAGCTATCCTGATCCAGAAAAATGGTTACCCCCGTATGGCGGGGGGAAGGAGGGTCCTCGGGAGAAATCGCCACCCAAACGGTCATTTCCTTTAAGCTCATTGATACATAGTTTAATAAATGAATTCTAGTTTTGAAATTAAATGAAAGAATGTCATTCACTATCAATGATCAATGGTTGACCTACAAAATTTATTCTTATACTTGTGATGATTGTAGTAGTGGTGCTAAACTTTGATGGAGTCACTAGTACACTCTTTCATTACAAATTGAATGAAGTTTGTATTATTGAGTAGTCTTCTAAAAGCTATATATATAATTTAATAATTTTTTTCATTTCTATCCACTTGAATATCTAATTTAATGTCATATCATAAATGCAATCTCAAAGAAAAAATTGTCAATTTAAATGATTAGAAACTTTAGTTTTATAATTTGATTACTTAAAAGTTTAGATATGTTGCTTTTGAAAAAAAAAATGCTAAATTTAATTTGAAATTTATAATAATTCATGTAACTATGGAAGAAGATTAAAACTATAAAATGTAAAAGAGCTCATGTAATATATTATTGAAACCATGTTTCTTAACAGGACCTCAATTCTTTGAACAAATTATGAAAAGCGTATACTATGTGAAGGCGGGTTTTAGTGATCTTGGAATTAACAAATGTATTCAAATTTAAGAAGTTAATTATGATCATAATGTTACTTATACATCAAAATGCATGAAAACTTCAATGTTTTTAAGAGGTTAATTGTGTATGAATTTTATTGTTCATTCAATCATTACACCTCCACCAAAAAAGAAATCCTTATCGTAACTTAATAAACTTATATTAAAGTTTATAATAACAGTCAAAAATATGGGTGCGCCTTTTCCTCTGCTAGGGTTTCCCGTTTGATGCCTTAGCCGCCTCCGTCTCCTTCGGCTCCGGGTTTAGGGTCGCTTATTTACCTTACTGGGAGGTCAGTTCGGGGTTTCGAGGGTGCTGGTAGCCTCAGCCAAATACTGAGCCCACCTCTCTTTATTGTATTTCTCCTTTTTCTGTTTTATCTGGTCTTTGTAACCGTTTTTTTTATTTTAATAAAATTTGATTTTAATGTAAAAAAAAAACAAAATAAACTTGTACTATTTAATGGCAAACTCACCATTTTATATTAATTGTCATGTCTAAATAATAAAAAAAAAATTGTTTGATTGCAAAATTGACCGCTTTCTTAATTATTGCTATGTTCCCATTAGACTCCAACATAGAGACCTTTCTATGTACATGATTCATGACATACTTGTTAAATTGACTCAAAATTTTCATATAATTTAGAAGTGGGTAATGATATGAATTTTAACATTACAATACAATAAGTGTTAACGTGTTCCATAGCTGAGCAGAACACAAGTTG